GTGGAGGGTGTCCCTGCCCATGGCAGGGGGGTTGGAACTAGATGGTCTTTAATGACCCTTCCAACCCAAACCATTCTATGATTCTATGATTTTTTTTTCTTTTATCTCAGGTTCCAGGCATTGAATGTTTTGCTGCTGTGCCTTCACATATAGATATGTATTTTTATGGACATCCATGAACGTTAGCAGATATTTTGCAATTCGTATTTGTCCATAACTGACACCCCAGGCAGAGCAACAGAAACAGAATTTGTCACAAACTTTTGAGTTAGGCTCAAAATTGCAGTCAAGCTACATATTAAGGACAGTACTACTATTCCTCATTATACTAAACAGTAAGGAAACAGTACTTCCACAGTAAACCTGTGCCCTCAAATGTATCTAATGTTACAATTTACCTGCGTATGGCAGTGTCACACTCTCACTGGAAAATGTTCCCAAACTTGAACACGTTATTTATAAAAATCCCACATTAGCTTAAAATCTAATCTCTTAAACATGCAAGAGTACTATTTAAGTACAGTATCACAAAATGGCAATACACGGACTTACGTAGATGAACAACAAAGAACAAATACAGTCACAAACCGTAATTCTTCAGTGAAAAACTCATTCCAACAAGCTATAATAAAGGACTACTGATAGACATGAATGTTTACTGAAAGTGTTTTCTTATTTATTGAGTTACTTTTAAAATACTAAGATGACCCCCAGGAGAAAACAAAGATTTTCACATCAGTGTTCTAATTAGGCTAGCATAAGTTTGGTACAGTTGAAAAAGATTATATGACACAACCTTTAAACTTAAAACAACTGTAGACATCTTGGTTTTCCATGTTTTTCATGACGCTTGGCAACTAATACTGAAAAAAGCAGACATCATAACAATAAGCATAATCATAACAGTTTAATGAATACTGTCCTATAAGAAGTTCCCTGTTCACCAATAAGCTGTATTTCCCTGTAATTTTATTTTTCCCCATAATATTTCTAACTGTAAAATACTAACACTAGCGTAACAAGGATTTCTGAAGATTTCCTATCTGTGTAGACAGTTTCCATAGCAAAGAATTACCCATGAAGTAAAAATTCCAAGGTTTCTTGGCTACGGCCAGAATCTGCTCATTCCTGAAATGGTCAGATACTAAAAAACATATTAGTTCTGTGTGAGGATATACACAATTTACTGAGAACTTGCAACATACCCTTTGACACTTTTCCCAGCTGTTACCAGAACAACTGGAGACGGATTTCTTGGAACAGTCAAGACTTTCCCCTAACTTCTCCATACTATGGTAAGGAATGT